GGGGGCACTACCCCTGCTGGCAGAGCCCCTGGGAGATTCCTTGGACGCGCCGCCGTCCCTGGGAGAGTCCCTGGGGGCACCAGAGACCCTGGCAGGGCCCCTGGGATGCTCCCGTCCTTAAGAGAGCACTTGGGGGCGTCCCCGCTCACAGCCGGGTCCCTGTGGGTGACACCGCCCATGTCAGAGCACCTAGGGGCGCCGCTGTCCGTGGTTGATCCTCTGGGGGCGCTACTGCCCCTGAGGATGCCAACAACCCTGGCAGGACCCCTTTGGGCGCCGGTGTCTCTCGTAGAGCACCTGGAGGTGCAGCCGTCTCTCAGAGGGCCTCTGAGGACGCCAGCGCCCACAGCCGGTCCCCTGGGGGCGTTAACGCCCCTGTCATGGCCCCCTGGGGTGCCATCGCCTCTGGCAAGACCCCTCGGGTCGCAACCGCCTCTGGGGTTCACCACTGCCCCTGGCCGTGCCTGGGAGCGTCACCGCCACTGGCAGGAGCCCCTGGGAAGAGAGACCCTGGAGGCGCTGCTGTCCCTGTGGAGCAGCCGTCCCTAGAAGGAGCCCCTGAAGAATGATAGCCCTCTGGCAGGGCCTGTGTGGCCCTTAACGCCCCTGGCAGGGCCCCTGGGAGAGACAACGGAGGCACTGCCGTCCCTGGGAACGTCCCTGGAGTGGCAACGTCCCTGAAACTCCCTGGGGGCGTCACCGCCCCTAATAGGGCCCTTGAGGGCGCCCCCGCCTATGTCAGGGCCACTAGGAGCGTTGCTGTATTTAAGAGGGCCGCAGGGAGTGCCCTTGTCCTTGGGGGCACCACGGCCCATGGCAGGGCCCCTGGGGGCGCCGCGGTCATTGTGAGGGACCCTGTGAGCACCTCTGTCCATGGGAGATCCTCTTGTGGTGCCAGCGCCTCTGGCAGGGCCCCTGAGGGCGTCACTACGTCTTACAGGGCCCGTTGAAGCTCTGCTGTCCTTGGCAGGGGCCCTGTGGGCGCCACGGCCTCTGGCAATGCCCTGGGAGAGCACCTGGGGGAGCGATCTCCCTTGGCAGGACTCCTGGGGACGCTACCGCCTCTGACAAGGTCCCTCGGGACGTCACTTTCCTGGCTAGGGCCCTGGGAGGGACGCTATCTTTGGTAGGCACCCTGGGGGCGCCAACGCCCCTGGCAGGGCCCTTAGGAGACTCCCTTACGGTGCTAGCGACCATGGGAGGGCCCCTGGGGGCGCCACCGCCCCTGACAAGTCCCTGGGGACGTCACTTTCCTGGCTAGGGCCCTGGGGGGTCCGCTGTCTTTCGTAGGCACCGTGAGGGCGCCATTGCCCATAGCCGAGGCCCTTGGAATGCCTTCGCCCGTGGCAGGGCCCCTGAGAGCGCCGATGTCCCAGGGAGAGTCCCTGGGAGCGTCGCTGTCCCTGATAAAGCCCCTGAGGGCACCAGCGCCCCTGGCAGAGAACCTTGGGGAGCTACCGCTCCTGGCAGGGCCCCTAGGTGCGCCGTTGTCACTTGGGAGAGCACCTGGGGGCGCGGCTGTCCCTGGGAGAGCCGCTTGTGCCGCCAGCGTTACTGGCTGGGTTCCTGGGGGCGTTCCCGCCCCTGGCACGGACACTGGGGGCACCAGCGACCTTGGCAGGGCCCCTGGGGTCGCCGACGTCTCTGGGAGGGCCCCTGGTGGCGCCACCGTCACTGAGAGGATCCCTAGGGGCACCGTTGTCCCTGGGAGAGCACCTGGGAGCGCCGCTGTCCCTGGGAGAGAGACTGGGGGCGTCACCGTCCCTGGAAGGATAGTAGGGGACGCCACGGCCCTGACAGGGCCCCTGGGGGACCCACTGCCCGTGGCAGGGTTCCTGGGGGCGCCAGCGTTAGTAGCCGGCTCCTGAGCGCGCCACCGCCCATGGCAGGGCCCCTGAAGGCCCTGGGCCCCTGAAGGCCCTGCCATTCCTGTGAGGGCCCCTGGGAGCCCCACTGTTCCTGGTAGAGACCATGGGAGCGCCAGCGCCCCTGGTAGAGACCCTTGGGGTGCTAGCGACTATGGGAAGGCCCCTGGGGGCGCCAGCGTCCATAGCTGAGGCCTTGGGGGCGCCTTCGCCCATGGCAGGGCCCTCGAGGGCGCCGATGTCCCAGGGAGGGTCCCTGGGAGCGTTGCTGTCCCTGGTAGAGCCCCTGAGGGCACCTGGCAGAGACCTTTGGGGCGCTACTGCCCCTGGCAGGGCCCCTTGGAGCTCCGTTGTTCCTGAGAGAGCACCTGGGGGCGCGGCCATCCCTGGGAAAACCCCTGGGGGCGCCAGCGTCCCTGACAGGTCTTCTGGTGGCACGACCAACCCTGGCAGGGCCCCTGGGGACGTCACCAACCTGGCTGGGCTCCTTGGAGCACCACTGTCCTTAGCAGGGCCCCTGGGAGACCCCCTTGGTGTGCTAGCAACCATAAGAGAGTACCTTGGGGCACCGCCGTCCTTGTGAGGGTCCCTGGGGGCGCCTCCGTCCCTGGGAGGGTCTGTGTAGGCCCTGCCGT